GAAAGTGGGAGCTCTCCATTCTCTCTCTCTCTCTCTCTCTCTCTCCCTCCCTCCCTCCCTCCTTTTCTCTCTCCCTCTCCCTCCCCCCACCACTATCTCTCAAATAAATTTTAAGAAATATCACGCTGCCTGGAAGAAAGTGATCCTGCCCCAAAGCAGAGATGGATGAAATGAATTTTCCCCCTAAATTTCTGTGTTGCCGAAAGAGACTTAAACACAGCTTGTCCAGTAAATATCAGGATGACTCAGCTGAAGACAGAGCTGGCTGGGTAGAAAGTGAGTCACTGCTTCAATGTCTAAGCCACATCATTACCTGCAGAGAGCGCAGAACAGTCGTTCTTCCCTGCCAAGGAGCAGGAGCAGAGAAATGAGCCGAGTTCAGCATAATGACAGTAACACTAGACTCAAGAAGGAAATGTCCACAATGATCAGAATGCAAACTACAGGGACTGCTGAGTGCAGTGCTACAAACTCTGCCTTGAGTCCCCCTGCGAACAAACACAAATAAAAATGCCACATAGAATTTGCAGGATTGAGGGCTCAGAAAAATTTCGAGAATTCTGGGAAATTGAAAAATGCGAATAAACCTATAGGCGTGGGGCTGGTGTCCTCGCGTAGCTGGTAAAGCCTCCGCCTGCAGTGCTGCATCCTGCATGGGTGCCAGTTCAAGTCCAGGCTGCTCTACTTCCGATCCAGATCCCTGCTACGGCCTGGGAAACAGTAGAAGATGGCCCAAGTCCCTGGGCACCTGTGCCCAGGTGGGAGACCCAGAAGAAGCTCCTGGACATAATAGCATTCTTTACATTTCTGAAAATAACCCTGAATTCCTAACAGGATGTTACTAACCCAGGAAACAGTTTGGCCAGAGTCTCAGGAGTATGCTGACTCACAGACACATCCTAATTTTTGGTTTTCATTCAAGGACCCCACTGAATTAGGAAAATAGCCAAAGGTTTAATTAACTGTCTCACGAGTTGTTAGACAAAAAGATTGGAGCAGAAGTGGTGGGGCTGACAACTAAAGCTCTGTGTGTTCTCCAGACAGATCAGCCATAGGGAGGATTTCTATCCCATGTTCCTCAAGGTTTTATTTCCAAGAAATCATCGGATCGGTGCAGCACGCAGGCCGTGGCAGCCATTTGGGGGGTGAACCATTGGAAGGAAGATCTTTCTCTATGTCTCTCTCTCACTGTTAACTCTGCCTGTCAAAAAATAAATAAAAAAAAAAATATTCAACATTGATAAATTATCTATTCAAACACTACATATGACTGAATATCAAAGTGGTGCGTTAATCTTGTTTTCAGCAAGGAGGGCTGGGGAATGTTGCCTGATACACTGGCATGACAGACGCATGCACTTTCTTCCTGTTTACCATCTTTTGAAAGCCTGACCAAATCTCTACGTTGAGAAGGGAAAGCCCCTGCTCCCAGAGTGCAGGACAGGCTGTGATGCCCATGGTTACCACAGGGAGGAAGAACAATGGCAAGGCATGGGGACACACAGCAGGGGGTGATGGTAGGTGGGGACCAGGGACCATGGGTGACAAAGCTTCTACTGTGAGGGTTCTCCCAGTGCACTCACCCCTTCAACTCGGGCTGCCGTTCCTTTCCTGGCCTCACCTGGTGATGGTTGTCCCTGGCAGCCATGGTGGTTGGCCAAGGACACAGTGAATTCTGAGTTTCCCTCCCTGCATCACGAGTTTCCCCTGAGTTGTGCTGAGCCAGAGATGGGGGTGTCCCTTATCTCCTTTACTAAAATGGGCGATTGGTGTGATTATGGGTTTTACACCACCTGTCCTCAACCCTGATCGCCTGAGGGGTTGAAGCTTCTAGAGAAAGACATCAGGCCCATTCTCATCACCTGGCAGATAGCTGCTCATCTTTATGGTCTCTGTCATGTATAGGCTGTGCAGTTACCTAGCAAAGGACCATCTTTAAAAAAAAAAAGATGTATTTATATATTTCTTTGAAAGGCAGAATTGCAGGGAGAGAGCAAGATAGAGAGTGAGAGAGAGTATGTGTGTGTGAGAGAGAGAGGTCTTCCATCCCCTGGTTCACTCCCCAAATGGCTGCAGATGCCAGGGCTGGGCGAGGCCAAAACCAGGAGCAAGGAGCTTCCTCTGGGCTTCCCACATGGGAGCAGGGGCTCAAGTACTCCTTCCATCTTCCACTGCTTTCCCAGGGGCATTAGCAGGGAGCTGGATCAGAAGTGAAGCAGCCGGGACTCAAAATGGGCAACCATATGGGATACTGACGCTGCAGACAGCAGCTTAATTCACTGAGTCACAGCCCTCACCCCTCATAATTTTCTTGAACGGACACTATCATTTATTCATTTCTTCCAATAGGTTTCACAAATAGGGACCTTGGTCGTCTCGTGAGTTTTGGTCCGAGTGACACTACAAGTTATTTGGTGACCTGGGACATGACGACTTAATCTTTTCTTGTCCCACTAGAAGTCTTCCCAGATGTCACTGTCATCAGTCTTCATTGTGTTTCAGGAGCATTGAGGAGGGGTGTCACACTGCAGCTGAGAAGGGAGAACAGAGAGAAAAATAAACACACACGGAGGGGTGTGTGCTCGTCACAGTGTGGGACTCACTCCAGCTCTATGGAAACAGGCAAACATCTCACCCTGAGCTGCTCATTCAATTCAGCTGCCCCTGTGGACACCTCCCCTGCTGCTGGGACTACAGCCAGGGCAGAAACAGGCATGAGAAACGCCCTGTGTCCTGCGTGCTCACTCATAGCCAGTAGGGGGCAGTAGAGGGATAAACAGGGATGGCCTGCTGGGCTCCACCTTGGCTTGAGTCTCACTGCTGCCTGCAGCCTGTCCTACTCTTATTTTTATTTTAAGAATTATTTTATTTATTTGAAAGACAGAGTTACACATTGAGAGAGAGAAAGAGAGAGAGAGAGAGAGAGAGAGAGAGAGAGAGAGAGAGAGAGGTCTTCCATCCGCTGGATCACTCGCATATGACTGCACTGGCCAGAGCTGAGCTGATCCAAAGTCAGGAGCCAGGAGCTTCTTCCCGGTCTCCCACATAGGTGCAGGGGCCCAAGGACTTGGGTCATCTTCTACTGCTTTCCCAGGCCACAGCAGAGAGCTGAATCAGAAAAGGAGCAGCCGGGACTAGAAGCGGTGCCCATATGGGTGCTGGCGCTTCAGGCCAGGGTTTTAACCTGCTGAGCCACAGCGCTGGCTCGAGTAGTATTATATTTTAAATTGTATCTATGAACTACATTGGACCTGTTCTCTTTGTATGAATATCACAGTAACACGAGTACTGATGAGAACAAAGAAAGGTAAGTCTATCGGGTGCAAATCATTCTGAAATCCTTATGTAGGAGTCTTCAAAACTGGGTAAATGGGTATTACGAAAAACTGCAGATGGTAATTTTTTGCGTCAACATAAGCATCTTCTAATTCAAAATTTCCATGAGCTTTTTGAGATATCCTAGTATTTCCAGGAGGTATTTACGAGGTACTTATTGAAGTGATGAATTCTGGGAGGAGGACCCGGATGTACAGAGATGGCGATCGCCGCCTGTGCACCTGGAGAGCGTGGCGGCGCCACTTTGGACTGAAGTGATCTGAGTCCCGAGGAGGCGTCCTCGGTATTGCCGTGGAGGGTTTCCCTGTGTGGGCCTGGCATGACGCAGGATCAAGAACCTGTGTCCTGACTTCCTGTGACTGTGACATGACTGTCTCCCTCCACGAGAAGGCCGGGTTCCCAGGCTGCACGTTTTGAGAAACCGGGAACGCGGGATCCCTGCCCTTGCGCGCCCTGGTTGCACAGATGGTATCTCCTGCAGATAAGCTGCCCCTCCCACAAGGACCAGGTTCCGGGTGCGCAGGCGTCAGGCACTGCTGCTCTCCAGTCGCAAACAAGGAGGCTAGTCTGTACCCTTCGGGGCGACACTCCCCACAGATCTTTCCTTTGAGTTTCCTCTGCCTGGCTCTCCTCGGTGTGCAAGGAGTTGACGGACTGCCTGAACGGGAATCAGCCACCTGCATTCCTGACCTTTCTACCTCGGAGCCTGCGGATCCGAAGGAACTGTGTTTCTTCACATCTGGTTGCCACCCACCCTTCCTAACGGCTGTCCCAGGCGAGCTTACTCCACGAAAGTAGACGTAATATCAAGGTCAAGATTAGTGTGTACTCCTGCTTATAAAGCTACCCAGCGCGGACTAGAGAAAAATCAGCTAGCGACCAACTTTTAGTTGCACTTTGGAAGCCTACGGCAACAAATACAAACCTTAGACAGTGAACAATACAATCAAAGATATAAACTGCGTGGCTAATGATGCAAAACACACGTTACCCAGTTATAAACGATTCCAGTCAGGCAGAAATTGCTTTTCTTTATGACTAGTGTAGGTCCAGTTATAAGTAATTAATTCAAACCATAAGTTAGTTTACATTAACTACATTTGAAATTAAAACTGAATAGTATGTAGAATGTTAACATTAAATGATATAAAATATGGGGCAACATATGAAGATCTTGGTCTTAAGAGCTTTCAGGACCTGTCACGAGAAACACTGTTCCTCCATGACAGGCTTTATTTTAAACCAGAAAAGATAGGCCTAAGGGTACCGGAGTGAAACTACTCCTGGAATTTAGAGTCTTCCACCCTCCTGTGAATGACTAGCCCATAAGTTGCTCAAATGCACCAAAAAATGCATAAATTTAGGTAATTGCCACATAAGGAATAAGGAACTCATCTACATGTGTATGATGCATGTACTTGTTTACTCCAGTGTATAAAAATGCTGGGAGGGGAGGGACAGGGCTTCTTGCCTCAGCACTGCGCTACGTCCTATGTGCCCGTAAGAGCCCCAACTAGCTGGTAATAAAATCCTCTTGATGTTGCATTCAGCATGCCTTTTGTGAGTTATTTTGGGGAGGGTATCATACCGGAAACAACACTGGTTGTCTCCTGATTTTCTTCTATTGCAAGCTGAGAAGTTTGAAAGGAGTCACACACTCTAAGTTTGACATTGATAGTGAGTCTACTTTATTTGAATACAGACAAACGTTGGGGATCAAATGATTTGAAAGTAGGTGGTCAGTCAAATGAGAAGAAAGGCAGGTACATGCTACATGAGAGGCTCCAAGGAAGAAAGGTCTTCTATGAAGGTGACACACGCTCCACACCTTTCTTCAGCTGATCTGTGAAATACTTCCATGCTTCGTAAAACCAGGAAGGAACCACTGTAACACAGAGAGGAGAGAAGCCGTTGACAGCGCTGCACTGAGGCTACAGAACAGAGCTGTTGTTTCCACTTCCAGGACAACGGCAGTGCCTCTGCCACTCAAGTCACAGCAGTCAGAGTCCCCGAGACCCAGGACCTGCGGGAAGACCAACAGCCCTGCAAGAGGACGCGACCCAAGCAACCAGAAACCCTGAGAGGAGCTGAAACTGTGCCACGAAAAGGATTCCTAGATGTCCTGTCTCCCTAAGACATGCAACAAGCTTCTTGTGAAGGGGGGTTAAGGTGCAGATTCTTGATCTTGTGCCCACACAAGCAAACCCTGCAGCTCAGTAACGACAAAGCCTCCTCGGGACTTCCCTCACTTTAATACAAATCGGCACCTCCCATGCTCTGCCTGCACACAAACGGCTACTCACTGTCTCTGTACATCTGGGTCCTCCTCTCAGAATTTCCTACTTCGAAATGTTGGCGTAAGAATGAAACCATACGTTATACACAAAATAATCATCTCAGAAATACTAAATGATTCCAAAGAGTTCGTGGAAACGTTACATTAATAGATGTTTATTTTGGTGCAAAAGATATTAAAATTTGTGCACACACTTTTCAAAATACGCATTGTCCAGGAACTTTCTGAAGAGTCCTCTTTTCTATGGACTTTAAAATGTTTTTGCACTAAAATAAGCTTATCTTTTAATTCCATTTTCCGGGAACGTGTTAAAGTGCCCTCACAATCTAAAATTGCTTGAGTTTAATCGGTGTGGATGTAGACAGGAAAACAGAGCAGATAAGTAATGAGTAAGCCTGGAAGCCAAGCCTGAATCTTGACTTTCAAGGGCATTAAATACTCTCCAAATGCACTGAAGAACCCATAAAGTAGCTGACCCACAGTTTCCCCCACGAAATATCCAACAAAAAAAGTTGTTTTCCAATTTTTAGGAAAGTTTGCAAACAAAGATGGCATTCGCTGATCTTACCTTCCCCAACAAGATGCATGGACAAATTTGTTTCCTTTGGTCTTTGCAGAGTAACTGCTGCTAAGAATGAAGCAGCACAGCCTGTGGGCTGCAGTGAGACACAAGCCAAGGTGGAGCCCAGAAGACCATCCCTCAGGGCATCCCTCTACTGCCCCCTACTGGCTATGGAAACAAAGTGAGAGAGCGCGCAGAACACAGGGGGTTTCTCCTGCCTGCTCCTGCCCTGACAGCCACAGTCCACCCTGACGTGGGAACCAGGAGCACCCTGGAGCCTCATCCAGAAGCCCATTGGCCTGCAGTAGAGGTCAGTGCTGTGGCATAGAAGGTAAGCCTGTACCTGCAGGGCCAGCATCCCATATGGGCACCAGTTCAAGCCCCGGCAGCTGAATGCTGCTCTACTTCCGATCTACCTCCCTGCTAATGCACCTGGAAACGCATAAGAGGGTGGCTCAAGTGCTTGGGCACCTGTCACCCATGAAGGTCCTTGATTGTGACACCAATGAGAAGGAAATGAAGAAACATGATGGAATCATGGCAAAAAAGGAACATGCAGAACTCCCCCATCTGTCATTCCATGTTCAGGGAGATGACGTCAGGTAGTAACAACAATTGTGAAGTCCTACATTTTGCACCTGAGCTTCTAACAATGATGATGGCATGGCCTTGCTGTAAATAAGACGGTCCAGTGGGCCAGCATGGGGGAGGAGTTGATGAAGCTACCACCTGAGATGGCGGCATCCCATATGAACAGCAGTTCAATTCCCAGCTGCTCCAGTTCCAATCCAGCTCCCTACTAATGTGTCTTTAAAGCAGTGGATGATGGCCTAAGTACTAGGATCCCTGCCACCCACCTGGGAGAACAAGATGGAGTTTCAGGCTCCTGGCTTCAATCATCCCAAAGTAATCTGTTGCAAACCTGATAGAGTGAACCAGTGGATGAAAGAGTCTCTCTCTCTCTCTCTCTCTCTCTCTATATATATATATATATCTTTCGCTCTCCCCCTACAATTTTGCCTTTCCAATAAATAGATCAATAAATAAATCTTTTTAAAATAAAAAGATGTCCCATTACTAGATATGTGCACAACCCATACATGATGGAGAGCATAAATATGAGAGCCCACCCACTAGGTGATGAGAGCGGGCCTGATGTCTTTCTCCAGAAGCTTCAACCCCTCAGGTGATCAGGGTCAAGGACAGCTGGCAATGAAACCCATAATCACACCAATTGCCCATTTTGGTTAAGGAAGAAAAGGACACCTCCATTTCTGACTCGGCACAACTCAGGGGTAACTGGTGATGCAGGGAGGAACCTCAGAATTCACTGCGTCTGTGGCCAACCACCATGGCTTCCAGAGACAACTGTCACCCAGGGGAGGCCAGGAAAGGAACGGCAGCTCAGAAAGGGGTGAGTGCAATGCGAGAACCCCCACAGTAGAATCTTTGTCACCCATGGTCCCATGTCCCACTGTCCACGTATTTCGCCAAAATCCTCATGCTGCAAAATCAGGCAGCTTCTTCACAGCCCTCCTTCGGATAGCATGAGTGAATAACCTGCTCTTCCTGTAACTCCATTTCAGAGACTCAGTGTTCTGTAATAGGTAGGGTATAAATACATGAGTTACCAATCATTAATCACATTTTAGAAGTAAGAATGTGGCTTCCCTGGAATCACCCTAGACCTTCATGATGTCCTGGAATTTTCTCTCCCAAGAATGAAATATTTCAAACATTGAGCCCATAAATCGTGCAGATGACAGGATGAGGCAGATGAGCAATCCTATACCCTCACGCAACTAGTGACCCCACTCACACTCAAAATGCCGCTGCTTATTTCTCTTAGGTAAACCGATCAGGATGAATGCGGAGTTGGCAAGTGTTCCTTAGCGGGAGCGGGGAAGTGCAGGTTCAGACTTACCTTTAACGTAGTTCACGAAAGGGACGGGGCTCTCTTCCTCTAAATGGAAAAGAACAAGAGTGGGAGGTGAAGAGAAGGCCAGCTTGTGGGAGGAAGAAAGGGGAATCTGAAGTCTGACTAGGACTCTCACAATTAAGAGGAAGCAGAATTACACATAACAGACGCCCCCTACCCCCCAAGGATCACATAAGATATATATGGTAACATTTCTGAAAATAATGCTAATGACATTCTTCAACAGAATCTTGCTGACACGAGAAACTGGCTGGTTTCCTTGGAGTACACCAACTGACGGGAAGGTTTGAATTCAAGGGCTCCACTGATTAGGAAAATCTCCAATGTTGAGTCAACTATCTTATGAGTTGCTAGACAAAAAAATAGACTGCGCCAGAACTAATGGGGCTGACTACAAAAGCTCTGTGTTTCCCAAAGACAAATCTGCTAGAGGGAGAATTCTAGGTGCTGCTCCTCTGAGGTTTAATCCAGGAAACATCTTTACTTACGAGCAGACACCGGCATGGTAGACAGAGCAAGAAGGGCCAGGAGAACCAGGAGTTTCATAGTGGGGAGCGCAGGGACGGAGGAACTATGGCAAAGGAAAGCAGAGCTCCAGAGCCCACGAGGAGGTGAGGCACCCTCTTGCAGGAGGAATTTCAGCTGCTACCAAGGCAGAGCGCACCAATCAAAAGGCGCCAGGTTGCAATCGGGCTTGGAGATGCCAGATCCACAGGTGACCAAGGCAAACAGTGAGGAGTCACAGCTTCAGTCAAGCTTGGAGATGCCAGAATCCACACAGGTGACCAAGGCAAGCATTGAGGATGCGCAGCTCAGCCCCAGGTCATTGGGAAGGTCATGCATCACACAGTCTAGGGCAGACTGAAGGAAGAACAGAGACTGAGTGCCTGTGGATACCACACTCCAGGAATCTTGAAGACCACATCAGAATCTCGCTATGTGGGGGCTGACAACTCTCAGAAAGGAAAACTTCTCCCATTACTGAGTCCATAAAGAGGAGCGACTTTATGAACACTGCAGTAAGAGTCTGAAAACACGGAATATGGCCCTCTCTTCCCCAACGCCCAGCTTTCCTACCCATTCACTCAGCCAATTCCCCAAGGTCTAAAGCATTTTCTCAAATCCCACTGGTAATCTTTTCTACCTTGCTTCACTGTTCTCAGAGCTTTGCCATTCCTAACAGACAGGTTTATAACCAGACTGGAATTATACCCGAACATGCTTTTTCTTCCTCTCCTTATTCTTGCTAAATATAGCTTACCCAGTACAACTGGATTTTTGGTTTGGGGTAGGTGTTAGATCAGCTGTTAAGATGCTACCTCGGGTGTGCATTCTATGTGGGGTCCCTGGTTCAACTCCCAACTCTGCTTTCTTCCTATCTTTCTACTGACACACACCTTGGAGGCAGCAGGGGATGGCTCCTTTATTCAGTTCCCTGCCACCCCTGGATTGGATTTTAGGTGCCTGGCTTTGACCTGGGCTGGCCCTGGCTGTTGTGAGCATTTGGGGAGTAAACCAACAGACTGAAAATCAATCCCTCACTCTCTCCCACCCCAGACTTTGCTTTTCAACTGAAGTGAAAAGTTTAAAAAAATTCTTTTTTAAAGACTTGAATTATGAGTCTCAAATAAATCTCCCAAGTACACCAACCTGAACTCCTACAGGTTTCACACTAATTTGCTCAATTATCCCAACTAAGAGATCTTGCCTATTGTTGAGTTTTATTGATATTTTAGAGGAAATAGATAATCAAGATATCCACAAAGAGGAGAAAGTGTGCTAGACATCTATAAAGTAAGCAAGGTCTTTCACAGGTAGCAGGTAATGTGTGATTGCTTGAATGTTCTTAGCCATCTACCTTAAGGAGGAAGATTGTTGAACATATGAAGTGTCTGCATTTCATACTCTAGAGTTGTGCACTGGTTGAGTAGTTATTTCCAAAATGCATGATCATAAAACTATAGATCCTGGGCTTATGTACATAAGCAATCCGATGATATTTGGCCAAGGTCATTACATAAAGAAAGATTGTCCCAAGAATAAATAATAGTCTGTTTGCATGGCTTTCCAGCTGTCAAATGTTTTCAT